TCTTTGTTCCCTGTGGTCTGGGGGAACAAAAGCTGGTGGTGATTCTGCTACCTTGTAGTAAATGAAAAAAGTGAAGAAGTGAGGGGGTTTGTTTTGTCTCTTGAAATGGCTAAAGGAGTGCCCAATAGAAATGCTACATTTTTGGTACACATCAATTTAAACCATGTCTTGGGAGCACAGGCTTAGCTTTTGCCTGGAGAAGCCTGCCTAGCCATCGCTCCTACCACGAAATTCAGTCCCAAATTCCTTATAAAATAAGCCTTTGATAAATGAAGGTTGGGTTTGGTGTTTTTTTTTTTTTTTCAAGGGGAAGCCAGAGAAAAGTGAGAGAATTAATGTAAACTCCCGTTTCTCTTTGAAGGCACTATCAACACAACACTTAATGCTGACGTGTTACAGCGCAGAGGCATGGGAACGGAGGCAATGCTATGGCTGGGAGCCCCTCCTGCCCCAGCCTTGCCTCTGCCTCACCCCCCCACCCCCAGCACCGGGGCAGGGTCAGGCTGTCAGTCCTGAGTGACGTGGCTTTTTCCCAGGGGTCAGCTACTCAAGTTTAACTTTTTGGTGAACTTCTTGGCTTTTATTGTGAACACAAACTGCTTTCGAGGTACTTCTTGGAGCTGAAGTCCCAAGCTGGTTTGTGGCTGCGGCTGCAGGTGGCAAGTCCCCACTGTGGGACATTTGAAGCCCATGCTGCATCCTAAGCGTTCACAGCCTGCCAAAATGTGGGCACTTTGATTTTAAATGGTGTCTCTTTAAACAATGTTACAGAGAGATGCTGGAAATGGGCTAGGACTGAAACTTCAATAAATACAACATCGCCTCCTTGGCAATGCCATTTTCCTCATCTCAAAAAAACCCAGTCTATTTGAAACAGCAGGAAATCTTTATTGAATTTGCAGTCAGCTCCCTGTCACCTTACAAATAGGTGGTAAAATGCCCACAGGCTTCACATGGGCACCTGCTCTGCCTTCCCTGTTAGCACAGTGTTGCGCAGGTCAGCTGGATGGGAATAAATGGCCTGGCCCCCGTGTTCAGCAACAGGGAGCACCGAGGGAAATGCAGGGTGATGCTTGCACTACCATGTGGTTGCTGTAAGAACTGTTGTAGCCGAAACACAATTTGCACAATGTAGCAGAAAAATGAAAGCTTAGCACTGTCTGTAGTGAGTCAGGGCTGCCAAATCTGAGGCTGGAGAAAACTGGATTGTCTTCAACTTAGTGCTTGATGCTGCAGCAGGAACCACCTGGGTTTGCTAGAAGAGGAGCAGTACAAGAACATGTTTTCTGTCAAAGTGGCGCTGACAGCCATCATGGCCTTTTAACCCTCTGGCTAATGACTGCTGCTCTCACTTATTACAGACAGAGGCAAGGCATCACCTCGCCTTTTACCTCACTAGAAAACTGGGTGAAAAAACAGAGTAGCTATTTAAGTTTAAAAGGTGAATTTGTGGGAAGGTGAGGAAACAGAAAGCAGCATTCAGCTCTGGGTCTCGGGCTTTTCCCCACCTGCTCAGCTGTGTGTCCTTTTCCTACACAGGAGTGCAGCTAAGGCAGAAACTGCTGAGGGGTCCATTTTCAAGTAGTGTGGTTAACATTTATTTAATTGCAAGAGGGAATGGTAATTGGGGACACCTTGGTGTGGTAGAGTTCACAAAAAATTATGGCTCTTTAGTTATCTGGCTGCTGTGTAGGACAATAAAAAAAATGGGGTATAAAGAGAGCAGCCACAAGTGCATGGTGTATGGCAAAGGTGCCTGGAAGCTGCAAGCATTTACTAGGAGCAGACCCCAGGGACCACCTCCCCTTTGGCATCTTATTTCATGTAAGAGCAGGCTGAGCTGCTCAGGAGCGGCGGGGTTGGGTGGTTGCTCTCGTCCTGATGCAACATCTCAGTGACATTTACTGAAACAAGCCCCTGGGTGCTTTCCAGGCAGCAGCAGCTCCCCTGGGAGCTCAAGCATTTTGGAGGGAGCACCGCAGAAATCAGATAAAATACCTTCACTGTCTCCTGGCTCTCATGTAAAGTGAAGCTCCTGCATAAAGGTCCTACAATGATCACCTAGTCCAACTGCCTGACCCATTCAGGGCTGACCAAAAGTTAAAGCCTGCTATTAAGGGCATTGTCCAAACTGACAGGCTTGCGGCATCGACCACTTCTCTAGGAAGACTGTTTCAGTGTTTGACCACCCCCCCGGTGCAGTTTTGAACCTGCTGCTTCTCTGGAAACACTAAAATATCAAGTCCTGTAAGGAAAGTAAAAACACTGATGCTTATACAACAAAATTGATCTTATTTTAAGTCTGTTTCTTCTTTTCTTACCTAGGCTTATTCCATTGAAGAGCTGTTCCTGTATTGAACAAAACAGGAAGGACTCCTAACACCTGGGAAAATAACCACAAGGATCTGTTTCATTTAAGTCTGATGTGGTAACCTTCTAAAACGCCATTTAATCCCATCCATCCAATTCAGTCCATTTGTTGTATAGGTAAGGGCTTATGTTATTATTGTGTGAGCTATAATTTGATTAAAAGGTTGGAAGAGGGAAAACAGGACCTTTCCCTGGCAGTGCTCAGCTCTTGAAAATTGGACTCGGGGGCTTACTAAGGTATGTCTGTAGTACAAGTATTTCTGTATAACTATACTGTTGCTTTGGATCCAATAACTTTATTCTCTGTACAGAAGGACCTGGGAGTCCTGGTGGACAAGCAGCTCTCCATGGAGCCAGCAATGTGCCCTTGTGGCCAAGAAGAGACCTCAGGAGGCTTCAAGTCCAACCTCCCATGCAAAGCATGGCCAATTACAATAGGTTGCTCAGGGCCTGTCCAGTTCAAAATTTGAAAACCTCCAAGGCTGAAGATCCCACAGCTTCTCTGGAGACTTGCTCCAGTGGTTGACTACCCTCATGGTGAAAACAATTTTCCTTCTATTTAATCAGACTTTCCCTTGTTGCAACTTATGTCTGTTGCCTCTTCATCTATCACTGTGCAGCTCTGCAGAGCTTGGCTCCACGTCTTCTGTACCTCACCATTAGATAGCTGCAGACACCAATAAGTTCTCCCCTTGGACTTCTCCTTTTTAAGGCTGAACAAGCTCAGCCAGCTACCTCAGACCCTCCTCACATGTCATGTCCTCCTGCCCTCTCCCATACTCACTCCAGTATGTCAATCTTTCTTGCACTGGAGACCCCAAACCTGCGTACAGTTCTCCAGATGTGGTCTCACAAGTGCTGAATAGAGAGGACTAATAGATGCCCTTGACTTTCAGCTGTGCTTTTGTAAATGCTGCTCAGTATGCTGTTGGCTTGCTTTGCCGCAAGGGCACACTGATGTGTACAACTCCCAGCCCTGGCTCCTTTTATTGTAAAGCTGTTCCCTACCCACCTACCCAGTCTGAACTGCTGCACGGGGTTAGTCTGCCTCAGGTGCAGGACTTTGCCTTTGTCTTAGTTGAACTTCATGCTCATTTCTCCAGCATCTTGAGGTCCTCTTGAAAGGCAGTCCTGCCCTCCCTGTAACAACTGCCCACGCCATGCCCCAGGAGGGCAGCTGACACACATTACCATAAACCTCCCCAGACCCAGATTATGTGTGGTTCAGAAACTTGCTGAAAGTGCACTCCATTGTGCCCTCCAGGTTGTTAACAAAGACATTAGATGGTACTGGCCCCAATATTGATTCCCCAAACAATGCCACTAGAAACTGGCTGCCAGTTTGACTTTATCTGGATGGCTGGGGTCAAAGGATGATCATCGGTAGTACACTTTTCACCTCTCGTAGTTAGCTGTATGTCACCGATTTGACTATAGGTTTTAAAAAAATAAATAAAAAACCAACAGAAGAATCCTTTTATTTTCAAAGTTTGATCAATCCATGAAAGAAAGAGCAGCACATTTCTGCAAAGCTCAAATAACTGTACAGCTCATTCTGCAGATAGATTTTTTCTCACCAGAAAGGAAGTGACTGTTAAAGAGAAGGAACCAGGAAGGGAGCCAGGACCAGCTGTGGCCAGCATAGTTCTGCTGGCTGGTACCTTTAGAAACACATTACACCCTTCACACTTCTCCTTCCAGTGTTGCTCTCCTTAAAATCACTGAACACCCAGGTGAGGATCCATCTAACCACAAAGTACATTTTAGCATCTCTGTCGGATCCTGTCAGGGCTGCCCTGTATATTTTGATTTTCATTCACAGGTCCTATGGAAGAAATGGAGCAAAACTCTCCACTGGGGAATGCTGCCTGGCTGTATGAGCAGCCACCTTTCCATTACACTTTGGAGGAAAGCAGGCTGTCTTCCAGTGAGTTCCAGTCACCAAATGATTTTATTGTTGCAATATAATGAAGCGATTTTTATTTCGTGCACTTCGTGGTGCTCAAAATGTTGCTTTTCACAGTATAGAATGGATGTGACAGCATTTGTCATGGAAGCACTCAGCAGAGTATGTTGAAACTTCATTTAGTTGTGCTGTTTTATGAAGTTCTGCAGTAAAATGTGCCAGCAAATTATCTTTTATTAGTTTCTTTCCGGTGATTAACTAATCATTCATATAATAAATAGCAGCTAACTACAAGAAAGAGATTTATTTGTCACAGAGTTAGAAGAATGTCAAACTTTTCCCATTTCATGTAAAAAGGCAGAGGAAAAAATACTTCTAAAATGACTTTGCAACATGTGCTTTATTTTAAGTCATTACTGAATCAAAACTACACAGTATACCCTTTTAACATACCCTACCCACTCAATGATTTTTTTTCTCAATATTTTTTTTAACATGGAATGAAACCTACATTGCAATTGTAAATTTTCATGCTACAATGTTCTCTAATGAGCCATTTGTGTCACTAATAATAGTAATTTAAGAAAAAGGCCATTTTTCAAGCTCATATGTATGTATATTTGGGAACTTAAAAAAAACCCGTCTCGGATGTAAAAATGTGACTTGGAATATGTAAACATTTTTGTATACCTGAAACGCTGGAAGAAGAATATCAGCTAACAGCAAAACAACAGTTGCCTTAAATCATCGAAATGGGAAAAAGCATGTCATGGGGAGCAGAGAGAAGCACACACTATTCAGTCTTTAAAGGGTTATAAGAAATGAAGTAGCTCCTTAGGTCAATGAATTCACTTTCTTTTCTCATCTAATGGAAAGCAGTAACTTTGAAGAGAATGGCCCAGCAGAACACCCCAATATTTCACCATAATTATTCTAGCCATCAGTTAACCTCGACAAAGTGTCAAGTTTCAGTTGATTTTTTTTTTTTCCTGAGAAAAGTCATTGATGTTTGGTGGAAATGTGTTCTGTGACTGTACAAATAAAATAAGGCATTTAAAGAGATTGTTACTTGTTTTCTTTTCGCTAACAGAGGTTTGTCCACAGTGTCCTTTGTACATCCAAACCTCTGCTTTTCTACAAATGGGTATGGCTAGAATATCTTCAGTTCCCACTGTGGCCCTGGGTCTTGGGTGTCCTGAAGGCTAGTCAGCGTCCCATTACTGTGGCTTGAAAGTCAGTGATGTACAACAGCATATTGCACAATCCAACCTGTATGGCTCCAGAAAGGCTTAAGAAGGTACACTGGAGTCATCTGTGGGTTCACTCCTTTCTTTTCTCTTTAAGGGTAACGATCGTCTGGAAAATTAAATTAGCCAGACAGACAAGGATGCAAACTTTTTGTTGATTAAATTACAAAGCAATCCCCAGATTGTAGAGGAGTGGCACATTAAAAACAACAGATCATCCAACCTTCTTCATTGTCGATCCTTAATTTGAAAGGCAGCATGGATTCCTAAGGCCGTAGCTTCCAGGACTCCTTCAGTGAAAAATCATTGCTACCTAACTATAAAAGGCTTAGCTCTTAAGAGAATATTGTGCTTTTTTTTTTTTTTTTTCCCTTTAAAATTCAGATGAAATCAACTTGATTTGCAGTGTGACACCAAAGAGATCAATTAGTTTTTTCCCTAGTCCACTTGATCATAGTCTCTGGTGAACGATACAGGAATATTAGTTTGGCATACAGGTCTTCTTCTAGTTCCAGTTCTCCAGTCTCTCGCACTAAGAAAATGTCAGTACACAACTTCAAGATTCGGTCTACATTGGGTAGCTCCTCAAACATGATGGAGTGAGAGATCCCACTGAAAAATTCACGGACGAACTTCCCTATCACCAGGACAACTGAGGCGTATAGTCCCATAATGCTGAAAAGAAAGGAAAGAGTTCAAACTATGCCTTGAACAAGGGTCAGCCAAGCGTGAGAGAGCTCATCTACAGGTTAAAGTGTAGTCTGTAAGCTGAGTGAACATTAATTTCTAATTAGAGTCCTGTTTCTGCTGTGCTGTGGGATGAAGGAAAATAAGTTCTCTTCAAACACCACAGAAATCTGGAAACATGAACAGCTGAGGCTGCTGACTTCAACGGTTTAACCCCATCGCTGATGGTGATGGTCTCACGTCCTGTCTGCTACAGCTTGGAACCCACAATGGGAAATCTCACAACCGCTGGCTGCTAAAGGCAGGTGATCTGTCAGGTTTCAGATCTAATATTTTTTATTAAAGTACGTGTAACTGGTGACATACTAACGTTTACCTGGCCTCCCCTGATAACTCCTCTATGATGAATTCTCCAAAATCATGCCAGAAGAGCATTATCTCCTGGGAAGGCACAATCTCCTGCCTTCCTCTGTCTGTGGAGATGTATTTCATAACTGTTTCACACCCAGGGTCCTGGAGATTGGGAAGGTTGCCAAAACTGGGCAGAGTTTGGGCAGAACTTGACCTGTAGCTAAACTAACATCTTTTGAATGATTTTACTTCAATAGGAAATTGGTGTGAAGGGTGCTTCTGCCTTTTTTCCCACTGAGGAGCAGGTATCAAGGGTAATACCATTCCTTACAAATATGACACTTTCTATAGACAATAGTAATGGGCATGAATTTGAAACTCTCACAAAACCCCTTTTCTGGAGTTTCAAACATTACAACAACAAAAAAGAAATAACACCCCAAACCCCAGCAAATAAAGTCACATCTGCTTCTGTCTTATCTACATTATTTTAGTTTTACATAAAAATTCCTTCTTACCCATAACCAGCCAAGAATCCAAGGCTTGGTGGACTGACTTTATCACTGAATATGAAGAGTTCAAGACTTTCTTCAGACGTTTTGTATCTTTTTCCGAGCTGATTCAAAACCCACCACTCACGAACTCCCTCATCGGACACATTTTTTACCAGGGAAACTGTAATGTTTTCCCATCTGCAGTCTATTGAAAAAAGGAAATGTTAATATAGATACCAAGAATTGCAAAATTCAAACTGTTTTGAGTCAGATTGAACATCTGCATGATAAAATGACTGAGTAATGTAGGGTTAAAGGTTTGTTACTATTCTTCTAAAACACATTTTACATTATTTCTGTACAACAGTACAATATCTAGACTTCTGTGGTTTTCCTCCTGCAAATCTCATCTGAATATGCATTAAATAAATAAAATGTTACATATCACCTACATTTTCTCCTGTACAACTGTCAAATCATTTAAATATTTTCAGGCCAAAGTATCAATAACAGTCAGCGTACAAACGCAGAAGCATTTCATGCCTAAAGAAACACATTTAACCTGGAGGGATAGTGGTCGGCTTCTATATGTCAAAGTGAAACTATCACTGTAAATCCATTATGTCTTGGTATAAAATATGTTATTCTCTTATATCAAGAAAAGCATACTATGCTATTTTGCATACTGATCACACAGACAGGAGGTGAACTCTGGCCCTCCTGATTTCTGGGGAACATATATTAGCAGTGTATATATTAAAGCCCTCTTGAAGAATTTCCAGTTAAGAGCTCTTTAGGACAGGACCTGACTCATGACAGTGAAGCAGTCGTAATTTATTGCTATTCATAGAGCTAGGTTCAGCTTCAAGAATTATTTTTCCCAATTAATCTAATCGTGCTCACTGAACTTTGAACAGCAAGGTACTACATAGTACAGTAATGTAGAACATAGTACTACTACTATGCCTGAGTGACAAATTTAACCTCTCTTGAGTGAAGTGTTCTTAAAGACTTGTTTCTACTCTTCCAACCCAACGGGTTTTCCACATGCGCGTATGTGCACATGCGTGCATGAATTCTGTATGTCTGTGAGTACCTGTATGCATTCTGACTGGGTAACAGCATTCAGAAATTCATTGATTTATCTAAACTGGATTCTTTGTAGCAATAAGGAAGAAAGAGCTAACAAAAAATAATCAGTGTCATCATTTAAGCTGAAGAGCTACATTTGCGGACACGCAGCACTACTGACTGACTGTGGCAAGGTAGCAGGGAGATGTGGAGAAGTGAAACTTGTCATCGCTTCCCCAGGAAACAAGGGAAAGCAGTTCCTGAAAACGGACTCGAAGGAAAGGCTGGACTTCATCCTTAGAGTCCTTACTGTTAAATACAAAGCTAAAGTACATCCAGATGCATTTTCTGCTTTATATTGTATTACCTCATCTCTCCCCAAGCTTGCAGGCACCGGGCAGAAACCCTTGTAAGTGCATTTCAGCCTGAGGTGCCCCATAACAGCTCAATGAACGTACAAGCGTGAGTGCTGTGTTGCACTTCTTCAACCACACTCTGTTTCTCATGGTCTGGACACATACCTGTCAATAGCTGCTTTATGGGTTTTGCCAGAGAATCACTAGGAGCTTTGATGTAGTACGGGTACACTGTCTCTAATGTTCTGGAAAAAATGAGAAAGCAAATATTTCATATTTTTATACCTCTAAAATAATTTAGAAATACCTAACAGGGCTATACACAGTTCCCAGTAATTCTTGGCTTAAGCTATGATTTTATAGTGTTCAGATGTCACATCTGAAAGCTAGCTGGATTTATTAGCTATGTTCTGTCAGTACTTCAGCAGGGAGCTCCATCCATAATGTCGCCATTCACACGCCATGAATCCCACACACCTGGGGCATGTGTGTTTGCAAGGAATGTAGACTTTATATTTTGTTCCCCTTTTTAACAAAGCTGCTTTTATAGTCAGCTATATAAGCAGCACAAAGAAAGGCAACACATCACCAGTAGTAAACAAGCTAGAAAAATATGTAGATAGAAAAATATGTGGTGACCACAGTTATTACTTCAGAACTGTTTCAATAATGACACCTGAAAAGGGTGACAATTTTTCTCAGAATCTTTCATTGGGAAATATTTTCACAGTTTGTAGGAGGATTTCAAATTTAAAAAGAAAGATATTTGTAAAAGTTCTTCCATTGGACTCAAAATTAAATCACCTGAAGTGGAAATACCAGCATCCAGAAAGAGCTTTCATTAAAAACAAAGATACTGTCCTAACTTTTCCTTCAAATGAGTGAAAAATTCTAGGGAAGGAGGCCTCTCAGGGAAGTCCTGTGACACTTTGCTACATTGCATACACCAGGCTGAGGAAGAACAGAGGTGGCCAATTAAAAATCTCTCCTGATCACTCCAGCAGCCCCAAAGATAGGTCACAGCTCAACAGCTAAGTTGTTCCAGCAGATGTGGTGGCAGAAAGCTCCCCGCTGAAGTAGTCAAACAGCTACTAACTGCCATAATCATTTTTCCTTTATGACAAAGTGAAAAAAAGCTTAAATCAACAATATTATTGCAACACAGGCAAATGCAGATGTATCTTCTGTATTACTGCTTGCCTCCTGTGAAGGGAGAATTACAAATTTAACATCTTTGTTGGTGACATGGACAGCG